CACAGCTGGCTACGACTGGGCTACGACGGGCGACGGGAAATGGCAGGGGGAAGGGGGGGGGGGGGGGGGGGGGGGGGGGGTGCGGTGTGGTGAAAGGGGCCCACCACGGGCCTGGTTGGAGGGCGGGGCCGCGACAAGGGGCGGGACCGCGACGGTCGGGGCGGGGCCGCGACGAGGGGCGGGGCCGCGACGTAGAGCGGGGCCGCTTCGAGGGGCGGGGCCGCGACGCAGGGCGGGGCCGCGACGTAGGGCGGGGCCGCGTCGAGGGGCGGGGCCGCGACGGTCGGGGCGGGGCCGTGACATAGGGCGGGGCCGCTTCGAGGGGCGGGGCCGCGACGCAGGGCGGGGCCGCGACGTAGGGCGGGGCCGCGTCGAGGGGCGGGGCCGCGACGGTCGGGGCGGGGCCGTGACATAGGGCGGGGCCGCTTCGAGGGGCGGGGCCGCGACGCAGGGCGGGGCCGCAACGTAGGGCGGGGCCGCGTCGAGGGGCGGGGCCGCGACGGTCGGGGCGGGGCCGTGACATAGGGCGGGGCCGCTTCGAGGGGCGGGGCCGCGACGCAGGGCGGGGCCGCAACGTAGGGCGGGGCCGCGTCGAGGGGCGGGGCCGCGACGGTCGGGGCCGCTTCGAGGGGCTGGGCCGCGACGCAGGGCGGGGCCGCGACGTAGGGCAGAAACCTGCCGCGCGCCTCGGGGCGCACAGCGGGCAAAGAACCGCCGCGCGCCTCGGGGCGCACGGCGGGCAGAAAACCGCCGCGCGCCTCGGGGCGCACGGCGGGAGGAAAAAGTAGCAGCGGAAGCGAGGTGGTAACCCACCCACAGGATCGATCCAAGGGGATCGACCTGCTCTGATAGCATGACAAAAGTTAGAAGAAAGAAAAGAGGAATGAACTAGCAGAAATAGGGATACAAATAGCAAACCCTAGAAGGGTTGTACTCGCTATAGAGCACCCCACTACAGGCTAGAACATAAGAATAATATTCTGACAAGTGATTCTGGCCATGTGGCGGACCGGGACTGGTCGGCATGCCCTGCTTGCGCTCAGGAGGTTCCGGATGGTTGCATGTAGTCAGGCTCGTCGGTCGAGACCGATGGAGAATCGGCCGGTGTCGGTCTCCATTTCTACGCCCAGGAATCGGAGATGTTGCGATGGTGACAGTTGTGATTTCTTCGTGTTTATCACAAGGCCTGCCTCTTTGAGGTCCAATATCACCTGCTGGCAGATTGCTTGCGCATCGGCTTTCGACTGGCAGAGAATTAAGATGTCATCCACGTAAGGTACGACTCGGATGCCTTGTTCTCGCCAACGCCGAGCTAGTTGCTTGATGAGCTGTGTAAAGACGAATGGAGCCGTCGCGAGGCCGAATGGTAGTGAACGAAATGCGTATGTGCGCCTATCGAATTCGAAGCCAAGGAACTTCCAGCACGATGGGTGGATGTCGATGTGATGGTAACAAGATTTGAGGTCAATGGAGAACATCCAGTCCCCAACGCGCGCCAGGTCGGCGACACGGCTGAGCCCCTCGTACTTGAACTTGGGGACAATCAAGTTGGCGTTGACTTTTCTCAGATCAAGAATGAGCCTGCATTTGTCTTTTTGCTCGACCACGTTAAGTGGACTTATGCACTTGAGCTCCGTTGCGGCCATCGGAACTGCCGCTCCCGTCTCTATGAGTTCTTGGATGGCGGTACGTGTGAACGTGGCATGCGTGTTCGCCCCGACATGATTGCGATCGTGGAAAGGTTGTGGTGGGCCGTGGCTCCATGGCAACCAGTAACCCTTGGCGATGACGGAGAGAATGAGGCTACTAGGGCACCATGAGCTCCACCACGCAAAGGTCGCGCGAAGACGACCGCGCATCTGTGTAATAGTTCTGTCTGTAACGGCAAATTCGTACGGGTCATCATAGCATGCCGCCTCGCACCGTCGTGCTCCTGTGCATGGGAGGCCAAGTGGTATACGGGTTGAGTATTCCATGTTAAAGCATGTGTGTGCATGTACATGTACGGGCAACCATTGATCAAATGTGTGAAGAAATTGAAAAACCGACGGAAATGTCAACGAATGTGTCGGGCGTGAAACGGCGCTTCTTCTTCTCCTCGTTTCCTCCGCTTTTTTTTTTTTTTTTTTTTTTTTTTTCTGCCCATCGTGCACTCGGTAGGATGTGGTTGTGCCTGCCCTTAGTGCATGGGAGATGATGCCTATGGCCATGGACACACTTGTCCATTGTGTTTCTCTTATTGTCTCTTGTTCTCTCTCTCTCTTTCTCTCTCTCTCTCTCTCCATCTCTCTCTCTCCCTCTCTCTCTCTCTCTCTCTCTCTCTCTCTCTCTCTCTCTCTCTCTCTCTCGCTCTCTCCCTCTTCCTCTCTCTTTCATGCTCTCTCTTACTCGTAGTTTGTGGGGGCTGGTGCGTGGAATCATGGACATGCGTGCCCACCATGTTGTATCTCGTTCTTTCTCTTTCTCTCTTTCTTTCTCTCTCTCTCTCTCTCTCTCTCTCTCTCTCTCTCTCTCTCTCTCTCTCTCTCTCTCTCTCTCTCTCTCTCTCCCTCTCTCTCTCTCTCTCTCTGATCCTCCTCTTGATTGTTTCAGAGTCTCTTTGCCAAACAGTAGGCTTTTAAGAATGTCAAACATTATATGTTTATGTGGTTCTAGGCTGTAGTGGGTTACACCTTAGGGGGTACACCAGATTAGGGTTTCATATTTGTACTCTTGTTCCTGTTAGTCACATCATTCTCATTTCTCATTTTGACATGGTATTACGAGCCTAGGTTTCACCTAGGACCGAAACGTTAGGGCCCCCCGTTTCCGCTAGCCGCGCCCTAGTGCGCCGCCTTTTCCTAGCGCCCTCGTGCGCCTCGTTCCTCGCGTCGCCCTTTAAGGCCTCTCACGGCCCCCCCTTAACGGCCCCGCGCTAGCCCCGAACGGCCCCTTGCGGCCCCCGCGCTAGCCTCTCACGGCCCCTTAAGGCCCCGCGCTAGCCTCTCACGGCCCCCGAATGGCCCCGCACTAGCCCCGTACGGCCCCCGCGCTCGCCTCGAACGGCCCCCCGCGCTCGCCCCTCTACGACCGAGCCGCGCAGCGCGACCCCAGCTGAACCGCGCGACCCGAGCCGAACCGCGCGACCCGACCGAGCCGCGCCGCCCTAGCCGAGCCGCGCCGCCCTAGCCGAGCCGCGCCGTCCTAGCCGAGCTGCGCCCTCCTTACCTGAGCAGCAGGGCCAGTACTGGACTGAACTGCTCCTACTGCTACTGCTACTGCTACTGCTACTGCTACTGCTGCTGCTACTTCAGCTATGGCTAGCCCTACAGTTCTCTCGTTCGATGCTGAGGGCCGCCCGATTAAGTTTGAGACCTGGCTCGATGATCTGCACCTGTTCCTCCAGCTCACTGCCAGGGAGGATGTCTCGCTGTACGATCATGCACTAGGCAAAGCTGCTGCCCCTGCTACTGATGCTGACGCCACTACCCGCTCCCAGTGGCAGACTCGTGACGCCCACGCTCGCTTCGCTATTTGCAACTCCCTGCCTGTAGATGAGCGCGAGCACTTCGGCCAGCACAGGACTGCCCAGGCACTGTACACTGCTGTAGTTGCGCGCTACTCCTCCCCAGCCTCTGCTGCGCTAGGCCGTCTCTCGCTTCCCTACCTGTTCCCTGACCTGTCCGCCTTCCAGACAGTCGCTGACCTCATCACGCACCTCCGCACTAGTGAGGCCCGCTTCCGTGCCGCTATGCCTGCTGAGTTTCTTGCCTCCAACCCTCCCCTGCTCTGGCTCACTCTCTACCACCTAGTCACCCGCCTCCCTGACACTCTGCGTACAGTCAGGGATAGCTTCCTAGCCCGCTGCCCCACTGAGCTCACCATTGCCACCCTCGAGAAGGAACTCCTTGCAGCTGAGAAGAGTATTGTAGCTGTAGGTGCCTCTCGTGGTGACCCCCGCACCCCTTTCTTCGAGGGGTGTTCCCCCTCCCCCCTGCTCCCCTCTGTCGCCTCTGCTGCTGCTGTTGACCTCCTTGGTGCTGAGCAGGTCGGGTCTGCGTCCGCTCCCAGCGGGCGCCGCAGCGGCAGGGGCAGGGGAGGCAAGGGCGGTGGGGGTGATGGCGGGGGAGGCGGTGGTGGGGGTGGTGGCGGCGGTGGGGGCGGTGGCGGGGCTCGAGGGGCTAGTGGCAGCGGTGGGGGTGGTGGAGGCAGCGGCGGCGGCGGTGGCCGGGGTGGGGGCGGTGGTGGTGGCGGCGGAGGACGTGGCGGCGGCAGGGGCGGTGGTGGTCGTGGTGGCGGCGGCGGTGGTGGTCGTGGAGGCTCTGGCACTGGCCAGAGCACACAGCACCCTCAGTCCTCCCAGGAGCTTCGTGAGTGGTACTTACAGCACGGGGGTGGGGGGGGTAGCCTTAGCTGCACGTACGTCATCCGCACTGGTCGCCGCAAGGGACAGACGTGCGGGAGGGCGCACACTGCGCAGCGCTGCTTCTCTCGCCTAGATGACGCTTGGCGTGCTCAGTTTCCTGACGCTCATGAGCTCCCTCAGTGGGCTGATCTCCTCAAGAAGGATATCGATATCTATGCTCTTGATTTTGATGTTATTCTCAAAGCCATGTATGCATTGACTATTAGTGGAGAGGAGGACCAGTACCTCTGTGTTCCGCCCGACCCAGGCATCCGCACTGTGAGAATAAGCGAACAGGAATGGATGAACTAGAAGTGAAATGAGTACAAGTAGTAAACCCTAGAATTGTGTACCCCCTATAGGCTAACCCACTGTAGCCTACACAAGCATAACATATATAATGTTTGACACACCCCCATAGGCAAAGTGGGGGAGAACAAGGGGTCACAAGACCAGTCAAGCAAAGCAAAGCAAGCTCAGGGTGGATCACAAAGTCACCACACAGTCCGAGCACAAGAGCAGGGCCAGAGGCCAGTTCACATGCAGGAGTACAGACATATATATAAAACTAGACAAGCAAGAGCAGGTATATATATATGTCACAGTACAAGTAAAGTCAAGAGGAGAGCAAGTGAGGCAAGACAGACACAAGACCCAGCTGGGTGCAAAAGCGCTGATGATCACAAGGCGCGAGTGCCTTGGTGAACACATCAGCAGTGTTGGCCTCAGAGGCCACGTACGCAAGTCGCAACTGACCACGCTGCTGCAGCTCACGAGCAAGGAAGTAGCGGAGAGCAATGTGCTTCGTTCTGTGCTCCAAGCGCTGCTCTCGACACAAGGCCAGCATGGCCTTGTTGTCTACGTACAGCACTGGAGGAGAACGAGGCGGCTCTCCAAGGTCAGTCAGCAGGTAGGTGAGCCAGCGAAGCTCCTGTGCAGCCATGGCCCCGGCGTAGATCTCAGCCTCACAACTGGAGCCGAGAACCGAAGACGAGCGAGTAGACCGCCACGAGACAGAGCCGGAACCAAGGCTGAAGGTGTAACCCTGTGACGACCGCTGCGTAGCCTGGTCGTCAGCCCAAGAAGCGTCCGCGTGGCCGGTAAGGACCACTGGACTCCGCCCTCCAAGCACAAGCCCCATGCCCGACGTACTGCACAGGTAGCGCAATACCCTCTTCGCTGCAGCCATGTGCTCTGGTCTGTGTCTCCCAGGAGCAACATAGCGTGCAAGAATGCTCAGAGGGTATGCAAGGTCAGGTCGTGTGCAGGTCATCAGGTACATGAGGCAGCCAACAAGCTCTGCATACGGACCACTCGACTCTACGGACTCATCCGAAGGCAGAGCTGAGAGTGAGTGGCGAGTAGGCAGAGGAGTGGCCTGAGGCGAGGACTACGTGAAGCCGAAGCGCTGAAGGACCTGCTGCACCATGTGTGACTGAGTCAAGGTAATGGTGCGGCGTGCTCTGTCCCGAGTGATCTGCAAGCCAAGGTAGCTGCGCAGTTCACCCAGGTCTGTGCACGTGTGTCTCTTCAGCAATTCGGACTTCACGTAGGCGAGTCCAGCAGTGTCCGCTGTGGCAAAGACCAAGTCGTCGACGTACACGAGGATGTAGAACGGCGGCAGTGAAGTGTCGGTGCGCAGAAACAGCGACGGGTCAGCAGTAGAAGGAGCAAACCCAAGAGCCGCAAGCGTAGTCCTCAGTGTGTCGTGCCACTCACGCGGTGCCTGGCGGAGACCGTAGACTGGCCGTCGGAGGCTCCACTGGGTGCCAGGAGGGAAATTCCCAGTGAAGCCAGGTGGACGGCGCAGCCAGATCTCCTCGTGCAGGCTACCCTGCAGGAACGCAGTGCTGAAGTCGAGAGAGTGAAGCTCGTAGTCGCGCTGAGCGGCTATGTGCAGCAGCACCCAAAGAGTGGTCATCTTCGGGGTGGGAGAGAAGGTCTGAAAGTAGTCAAAGTACCGCGCCTTGAAGAGAGGTGGAGAGCCCGGCGGCCGCTTCACCCTGAAGATCCACATGCCACTGACGATGTTCGCCCCAGGAGGGGGAACCGCGTCAACGTAGGTGCCTGTGGACTTCCAGGAAGCCATCTCTGCATCCATAGCTGCCTGCCACTGAGAGGAGTAGGGACCCTCTACGGCCTCCGCGTAAGAACGCGGAGTCGGGATGTCTAGTGCATCCGGGTCTCCCTCAGGGGCAAGCAGTACAGACGCGAGATGAGGTGAAGCAGCCGCTAGACACTGTAACTCCTCCTGTCTGTCCTCTAGGACGTCCGTGCCAAGAGCACACTCACCCCCGACGGACGGAGGACAGACAGACGCAGACTCAGCAACAAGACCAGCAGCGTAGTCGAGACGACAGCGAGCAGCAAAGTCAACGAGCTCAGCGACTAGAGCAGACGCAGCAGTGGACTCAAAAGAGGGGTCAGTGACGACAGTAGCAAGCAGACGCGTGACAGTAGGACTGGCAGCGCGAAGAGAGTTCGACTAAGGGTCGGCAAGCGCAGGAAGAGAGGACTCAGGAGGAGAAGGCAAAGGGGCACGCAGAGGAGCAGTGGACGGACGCAGAGACATCCGGTGCGTGCCAGGGACAGGAGGAGGACGCTGACGCGAACCGCGACCACTAGCGCGAGCAGCACGAACAGGCGACGCGGGACGAGACGCAGGCTCACGACGCTCAGCAAGACCTCCAGTAGGACCAGTGTAAGGAGAGGGAGCAGGCAGAGGAGAGGAAGGCTCCAACAGTGACTGCGACTGGACAGGCTGTGGACACTCTACCGAAGGAGAAAGACCAAGAACCTGCTGTAGGAGCGGAACGAAGTACGGCCGAGGCCGCGCGGCAGCTCCAGACTCAGCAGGGACAGCACCAGCACCCTCAGCGACAGCACCAGCGCCACCAACACCTCCAGCGGCAGGACCTCCAGCAGCACCAGTAGCAGAACCACCGCCAGGACAGACAGCAGTAGTCTCAGCACCAACACCCTCAGCAGCTCCAGCTCCAGTAGGACCCGCAGGCCCAGCAGCTCCGGGACCGGCAGCACCAGCACCCTCGACGGTCGACGAAGCTCCAGCTCCAGCAGCACTCCTCCAGCGGCGAGCAAACCACTCACGCAGCTCCTGTGGAGAGAGGGGCTCTCGGCGAGACGCAGCAGCAGGAGAAACCCCAGGCTCAGCAGCTCCAGACTCAGCACCCCCAGGCACAGCCGCTCCAGACTCAGCACCTCCAGGCTCAGCAGCTCCAGACTCAGCACCCCCAGACTCAGTAGCTCCAGCTCCAGTAGGACCCGCAGGCCCAGCAGCTCCGGGACCGGCAGCACCCTCAGCAGGCGAAGAAGCTCCAGCTCCAGCAGCACGCCTCCAGCGGCGAGCAAACCACTCGCGCAGCTCCTGTGGAGAGAGCGGCTCCCGCCGAGACGGAAGAACCGGAGAGCCCCCAGGTCCAGCAGGCGCAGGCTCCGCACCTCCAGGCCCAGCACCCCAAGGCTCAGCAGCTCCTGACGTAGCACCCTCCGGCTCAGCACCCCCCGGCTCAGCACCCCCAGACTCAGCACCCCCCGGCCTCGCACCCCCAGGCTCAGCACCCCCAGGCTCAGCACCCCCAGCAGCAGCACCCCCAGGCTCAGCACCCGCAGCAGGACCAGACTCAGCAGCAACCTCGACTGGCTCGACCGTGTCTACCTGGGACACACCTGAAGGGGCAGGAACCTGAGGGGGGAGGGGGTCTACCGGGGGGGGAACTGGTACCAGGAAGTCCAGTGGGGGGGGGAGGGAAGGAGTACGGTAGGGGAAGAGGCGGTAGAAGGGGACTGACTCGTCGAACGTGACGTCCTGGGAGGACAGAACACGACGAGAGGAGGGGTGGTAGAACTGCCACCCCGGAGCGTCAGGGGGGAAGCCAAGGAAGACAGAGGGAGCAGCACGGGGGGACAGCTTGTCCGCAGACAAGTCGCGGACAAAAGCCCGAGATCCCCAGACACGGAACGCAGACGCATCGCCGACCTTCCCCGTCCACAGTAACACTGGGGACATCGCGGGCCGAGAGACCCTGGGGTGAAGGTTGAGCTGATGCGCCGCGTACCGAACCGCAAACGGCCACAGAAAATGGGGGGCAGCCGCATGCATCATGGACGTACGAGCGACATCCATGACCATGCCAATGCGGCGCTCAGCAATCCCATTTTGTTGTGGAGAGTCCGGAAGCGTAAAGGTCTGGCGGATCCCCTGTGCACGACAGTAGTCTCGCAGAAGGCGAGAGGAGAACTCCCCACCTCGGTCAGAGTGCAGACGCAGAACAGGAAAGTCCGAGCCGAAGCTCCTCCTGAGCTGGAGACGAGCCTCGCGGATCCAGTCGATCAGCACCTCAGTGACAGCACCCTTGCTGCGCAAGGGGAAGACTGAGGTGCAACGCGACTAGTCGTCAACCACCAACAGGAAGTAGCGCTCGTGACCCTGCCCACGGACGGGGGCCGGGCCCCACACGTCCATGTGAAGCGTCTGCAGAGGAGCCTCTGTCGGGGGAAACTGGGAGGAGTGAGGAGCAGCCCTGAGGCGCCCCTCGACACAGGGGACACAGGAAGGTCCTGGTCCCGAAGGAAGGGGAGGGAGAGACTGGGGAAGACCAGAGACAAGGACACGGGAAGCCATGCCCCGAAGACGGGGCAAGGAGGGGTGGCCTAGACGGTGGTGCCACAGAAGAGTCTCGTGAGACAGGAGGCGACACGAACAGGGGGCAGACTCAGGACCAGACCTGGACGCAGCAGCAAACACCTGACCCGACGCTGCTACCTGACCGGACGCGGGGACAGAAGGAGACTCAGTGGTCAGGGTGTAGAGACTCGACCCCGGCCGACGCGAGAACGTGGCCAGGTGCCGGCCTGTGCGTGCGTCCGTGCAGTGGGTCACCCGCTGACTCGCAGGAGTGAACTGGTGAACCCCCGCATCCTGTAGGTCTGCACCACTCACCAAGTTCGTCGAGAACGAGGGGAGGTACAGGCCAGACAGGGTGCCCGAGGGGGCAGCCGGACACGGGAGGACAGTGGAGAAGTGAGCGAGGACAGGACCCCCAGAGGGGTCAGCCAGGGAGACTGCAACCGGCCGACCAAGCGGCGTGAGTGTGGTGCGGTCCCGAAAGAAGGAGCGAGAAGCCCCAGAGTCAAGTGTAAAGGTGAGGGAGGCCGAAGCCAACGCGGTACCTGAGAGCGCAGCCTCACCCGCACCTGAGGAAGCAGACTCACTAGCTCCTAGAGCAGCAGCCGCACCTGTACCTGGAGCAGGAGAGTCACTAGCACCCAGAGCAGCAGCCTCACCAGTAGCTAGAGCAGCAGGTCCTATACCTGGGTCAGGCGGGACGCACAGGTGACCGGCACGGTCAGCACTAGTAGGCAATGCATACATGGCAGTGAGAATAGCATCATAGTCAAGAGCATATATATCTACCCTCTGCCTAAGCAACTCCACCCAGTCGGGAAGCTCAGCCTCGTCGCCAAACACGGTACGCCAGGCGTCGCTCAGACGGGCGAAGCAGCGGGACGGTGTATGACTACGTGTCCCACAAGGCTGACCAGTCCGAGTACCAGTGCGAATAACGTAAGAGCAGCGAACAGCACTGAGAGACCCTCCACTCTGAGCGTACCACTCACGAAGCTGGCGAGGCGTGAGAGACACGCGAGAGGGTCGCGGGAGCTGCATCTGGCCGCCACCACGAGTAGAAGCAGCAGAAGTGGTAGTAGGAGTAGCGTCGCCACCCCTACAGCCCCAACCAGCGTACCACTCACGCAGCTGCTGGGGCGTGAGGGACTCACGCCGGCGTCGCTGGGGCTGCATTTGGCTCCGCAAGTAGAAGCAGGAGCAGGACTAGCAGCAGGGAGGCAGGCAGCCAGGCAAGCCAAAAGGCAGGCAGGCAGGCAAGCAGGCGACGCGCAGCGTGCTAGCAGGGCAAGAGCTCACCAGTGGTGGGAAGAGTAGGCTCGGCGACTCAGCGGCTCGGCAGCTCGGCGGCTCGGCGGCTCGGGCGACTCGGGCGGCTCGGCGGCAAGGTGGCTCGGCAGCAACTGCAGCTCAGCAGCTCGGTGACTCGGCGGCTCGGCGGCAGGGCGGCTCGGCAGCAACTGCAGCTCAGCAGCTCAGCGACCCGGCGGCTCGGCGGCAGGGCGGCTCGGCTGCAGGGCGGCTCGGCGGTGGGGCGGCTCGGCTGCTGCAGGTGAGCGGCTCGGCTGCTGCAGTGGGAGATGAAGGAGGAGGAGAAGCAGGGGAGGCCACACACCTGCCACCCCTCTGCTGGCGGCCCCCGAAGGAGCCGCGACGGGCGACGGGAAAAGGGGGGGTGGGTGGTGGGGGCCGGTAGGTGCAGCGGCGGGGCCAGCAGGTGCAGTTGCGGGGCCGGTAGAAGGGGACGGCAGGAGCCGTCAGGAGGGGACGGCGGGGCCGTCAAGAAGGGACGGCGGGGCCGTCACAAAGGGACGGCGGGGCCGTCAGGAGGTGACCGGGCCGCGACGGGGGCAGGCGGCGGGGCTGCGTAAGGGCCTGGGCGGGGCCGCGACAGAGCCGTCGGCTGGGCCGCGTGAAAGCCGAGGCGGGGCCGCGTAGAAGCCGGGGCGGGGCCGCGCGAGAGCAGGCGGCGGGGCCGCGAAGGAGCCGGGGCGGGGCTGCGTGAGAGCAGGCGGCGGGGCCGCGTAAGGGCCTGGGCGGGGCCGCGACAAAGCCGTCGGCGGGGCCGCGTGAAAGCCGGGGCGGGGCCGCGTAGAAGCCGGGGCGGGGCCGCGCGAGAGCAGGCGGCGGGGCCGCGAAGGAGCCGGGGCGGGGCCGCGTGAGAGCAGGCGGCGGGGCCGCGTAAAGGCCGGGGCGGGGCCGCGACAAAGCCTGCTGCGGGGCCGCGTGAGAGCCGGCGACGGGGCCGCGTAAGGGCCGGCGGCGGGGCCCCGTCAGAGAGGGCGGCGGGGCCGCGTCAGTGAAGGCGGCGGGGCCGCAGGGGAAATGGCGACCCGAGGGGTCGCTAAAAAAGATCGCGCCTCGGGGGGCGCTTCGGTGGGCCCAAAAAAAAACGGTCCGTAGAAGGACCCGCTCTATACCATGTGAGAATAAGCGAACAGGAATGGATGAACTAGAAGTGAAATGAGTACAAGTAGTAAACCCTAGAATTGTGTACCCCCTATAGGCTAACCCATTGTAGCCTACACAAGCATAACATATATAATGTTTGACACGCACGAGTGAGGCTGCCGCCCTAGGTGCTTGCGTGTCTGCTGCCCCAGGTGCTGGTGAGGCTACTGCTCTAGGTGCTTATGTGTCCGCCACCCCAGGTACCACTGAGTCCACTGAGGCACTGCACACCTTCACTCTAGACTCAGGCGCTTCGCGCTGTTTCTTTCGTGACCGCACTGCTCTTGAGCCCCTTGCTCGACCAGTCGCTGTCTCGCTCGCTGACCCCTCTGGGGGTCCGGTCATTGCGACCTCCTCCACTGTCCTTCCTTGTCCTGCTGTCCCGTCGGGCACACTGTCAGGTCTCCACCTCCCCTCGTTCTCTACGAACTTGGTGGCGGGCTGTGCGCTTCAGGATGGGGGTGTTCACCAGTTCACCCCTGCCTACGAGCGCGTGACACACTGCACGTGTGCTCGGACGGGCCGTCACCTGGCTACCTTCACTCGGCAGCCGGGGTCGGACCTGTACACACTGACCACTGAGTCACCTCAGGTAGCGGCGACTGCGTCTGCGTCAGGTCAGCTGTCAGCCCCCTGCTTGTGTCACTCTCTGGCGCACAAGACAGTCATCTGGCACCATCAACTTGGTCACCCGTCAGTGCAGCGCCTTCGGGGCATGCACGCCCGGTACCTTGTCTCTGGTCTTCCTCGGGTACTCCCTCCCCTCCCACCCTCCCTTGCTCCTCCTTGTCTTCCCTGTGTCGAGGGGCGGCAGCGCGCTGCTCCTCACTCCTCCTCGTTCCCCCCGACGACTGCTCCTTTGCAGACGCTCCACATGGACGTGTGGGGCCCAGCCCGCGTCCGTGGTCAGGGCCAGGAGAGGTACTTCTTGATCGTCGTTGACGACTACTCGCGCTACACCACGGTCTTCCCCTTGTGCACCAAGGGTGAAGTCCCTGATGTTCTGATCCCTTGGATCAGCAGAGCACGTCTTCAGCTGCGAGAGCGTTTTCGCTCGGAGTTTCCTGTCCTGCGCTTGCACTCTGACAGAGGTGGTGAGTTCTCCTCCGACCTCCTGGCAGCCTACTGTGCCGAGCACGGCATTCGCCAGTCGTTCACGCTTCCGGCCTCTCCACAGCATAATGGGGTTGCTGAGCGCCGCATTGGCTTGGTCATGGAGGTCGCTCGTACCTCCTTAGTCCACGCGGCTGCCCCCCACTTTCTGTGGCCGTTTGCGGTCCGGTACGCTGCGCATCAGCTCAACCTCTGGCCCCGTGTCTCCGCTCCGGAGACCTCGCCCACACTGCTGTGGACGGGGGAGGTTGGCGATGCGTCACGCTTCCGTGTCTGGGGATCCCGAGCTTTTGTTCGCGACACGTCTGCGGACAAGCTCTCCTCCCGCACTGCTCCGTGTGTCTTTCTTGGCTTTGTCCCGGATGCGTCTGGCTGGCAGTTTTACCACCCCGCCTCGCACCGCGTCTTCCCCTCTCAGGACGTCACTTTTGACGAGTCTGTGCCCTTCTACCGCCTCTTCTCCTACCGCACTGCCCCGCTCCCTCCCCTGCCTCTCTTCCTCGCGCCAGGTGCTGCAGTGGTAGACCCCCTCCCCCCTCAGGGTGCCGCTCCTTCAGGTGTCTCCCATTTAGACCCGGTTGAGCCTGCCGAGGTAGTTGTCGACTCGCGTCCGGCTAGGGGTTCTGAGCCTGAGCGTGCGGAGCCTGAGCGTGCGGAGCCTGGGGGTGCTGAGTCTGGGGTTACTGAGCGTGGGGGTGCTGAGTCTGGGGGTGCTGAGCCTGGGGTTGCCGAGTCTGGGGGTGCTGAGCCTGGGGTTACCGAGTCTGGGGGTGCTGAGCCTGGAGTTGCTGAGTCTGGGGGTACTGCAGCTGACTGTGAGACGCCTGGAGGAGCTCCCTCTTCGCAGCAGCTGCGTGAGTGGTACTCGCGGTACTGCAGCCTTCGGCGGGGTGCGTCTCGTGCTCGCGGTGCTGCTGGAGTTGGTGCGCGTGTTTCTTCGCCGCGGCGAGAGCCGCCCTCTTCCCCACAGCTCCGGGAGTGGTACGCTCGGCACATCAGTCTTCGTAGTGGGACTGCTGGTGCTGGGGTCCCCGGGGTTGACACTACTACTGGTACTGCGGAACCTGGAGCTGGAGGTGCTGCTGCTGCTGGCGGTACTGCTGGAGGTACTGTTACTGCTGGCGGTGCTGCTGGTGCTGCTGGAGGTGAGGCTGGTGCTGAGGACCCGGGCGTTGGAGCTGCTGCGGGTGCTGCTGACCCTGGTCCTGGAGGTGCTGCGACTGCTGGCGTTACTGCTGGTGCTGCTGGAGGTGCTGCTGGAGGTGCTGCTGCTGGTGCTGAGGACCCTGCCGCTGGTGACGCTACTGGTTCGAGAGTTGCTGCACGGCCTTGGCCGTACTTCGTTCCACTCCTTCAGCAGGTTCTTGGTCATCCTCCTCCTCCCGCCTTAGAGTGTCTGCCGTCTGTCCAGTCACAGCCACAGTTACCGCCTGCCTCCCTTCTCCCTTTGCCTGCTCCTTACACTGGTCCGAGTGGAGGTCTTGCTGAGCGTCGTGAGCCTGCGTCACGTCCTGTGTCGCCTGCGTCTCGTCGAGCGTCGCCTGTTCGTGCTGCTACCTCTAGTCGTAGTGTCCAGCGTCAGCGTCCTCCTGCTGTCCCAGGCACTCACCAGATGGCACTTCGTCAGTCCACTGCTCCACAGCGTGTCTCTCTCCCGTTGCCTCCTGCGTCCTCTCTTCCTGCTCTTGCTGACCCGGCGTCCGACTCCCTTCGCGCTGCCAGTCCTACTGTCACACGTCTCCTAGCTACGGTTGTCACTAACCCTTCCTTTGAGTCCGCTGCTGCGTCTGCCTTAGTTGCTGAGCTGGTCAACTTTGCAGCTGCGTGTCGTTTAGACTACGCTGCCAGTCTTGTTGCAAAGTCTGAGTCTGTCTGTCCTCCGTCCGTCGGGGGTGACTGTGCCCTTGGCACTGACGTCCTTGAGGACAGGCAGGAGGAGTTTGGTTGCCTTGCTGCTGCTTTGCCCCATCTCGTGTCCATGCTTGTTGCCCCTGAGGGAGACCCGGATGCACCAGACATCCCGACCCCACGCTCTTACGCAGAGGCGATGGCAGGTCCCTACTCCTCTCAGTGGCAGACAGCCATGGACGCAGAGATGGCTTCCTGGAAGTCCACAGGCACCTACGTCGACGAGGTTCCCCCACCTGGGGCGAACATCGTCAGTGGCATGTGGATTTTCAGGGTGAAGCGGCCACCGGGCTCTCCGCCTGTCTTCAAGGCGCGTTACGTTGCGCGAGGCTTCAGTCAGCGGCAGGGAGTTGACTTCTTCCAGACTTTCTCCCCGACCCCGAAGATGACCACTCTTCGGGTTCTGCTGCACGTCGCTGCTCAGCGTGACTACGAGCTCCACTCGCTTGACTTCAGCACAGCTTTCTCGTAGGGCAGCCTGCACGAGGAGATCTGGCTGCGCCGCCCGCCTGGCTTCACTGGGTCGTTTCCTCCTGGTACCCAGTGGAGCCTCCGGCGGCCAGTCTACGGTCTCCGCCAGGCGCCACGTGAGTGGCACGACACACTGAGAACTACTCTTGCGGCTCTTGGGTTCGCTCCTTCTACTGCTGACCCGTCGCTGTTTCTACGCACCGACACCTCACTGCCGCCGTTCTACATCCTCG